GGAAAGGAAGTGAGATATACTGTATTATATATTACAATATCAGTGCTAAGCTGCACCAGCCTAGCACAGTAGCTACTTTAAGCTAATTCCATTTTGCCTTATTTGTCCACCATGTTGAATCCCCCCCCCCCCCATCTTTTCAAGTTCTGTGGCAATTTGTTGCCATGAGATCTCCCTAATTAACACAGTTCATATCTGCATGACATGGAAACTTTTTTGAACACGGAAGAAGCGTACATGACAAGGCACTATTTTTTAGTAAGTAAGATTGTTATGCCTCTGAAAAGTTGTTTTCATCTGGCTACATTAACAGTCAATTTCATGGCCTATGTTGCAGTTATATAAAAATGAACAATGCACATTTCTCAAAAACCTTTGAAAGAGGACTTCAAGGGGGTGTTAACCATTGCTAGGAATTTCCTGTTGTTTGAAAGCCAGTCATGAACCGTACGCACGATGAACCCGGGAAGTATTTCCCAGCTAGTTTGAGTGCTCCAGACGTATTCATGTTTTCGCGTGTCATAATCTGAGCAACACAATCTCTCCAAACGTCTGCCTTTAAGAATACAACTTCCCTGGGCTTCTGGTTAGAAGGCCATATTAGAATGGGAGGAATCCACAGGTTTCATTTTATCCTCAATAGTTAGAAGGCTTAGGCAGTGTGCTGAGAAGAAATGTAAATGCACATTCCCTTTCCTCTACCCCCAACCTCTTAAATTAGCTGGAAACTTTCCTTAGTTCATCTTGCAGTAACCTCTAATGTTTCTTGTCTTCCTGACAGTTCTGCTCATTAGCGACAAGCTGCAGGCTGAGGAGGATCTTTTAAAAGCTGTCTACCTTTACTTGTCTCTTCCATCTGGGAAGGCAGAGCACCCAGGCAGCTCTGTCTCATGGACTCCACTAAGGACAGCCGCACAAGCACACATAATCACAGTGTGCTGTATGACAAAAGAGCTGAGCCAGGAAAGTTGGCAGCAGAGCAAATCTAACAAAAAATGGACCCCCAATTGTCTGAGCAATTTTGTCAAGTAAGCCGCAAATCCATCACTCAGATTTAACTGCAACTCCGAAACAAAAGGAAAACATTTGATGATTTTGGTTTTTAATTTTTTATTATTATTTTTTTTAGGATTTAGTTTTGTTCCTTCTTAAATTCTCTTGATAGTGGACTTTGTAAAAAAATTGAAAAACAAACTCTCCGATAAAGAAAGTCTACTGCAACAATGAGTCAATGTCATTTGTCATAACTTTTAAAAGCAGCTAGTACTGTCCTTTAGCCAAGCTCCTATTTCCTTTGAGATGTTTTAATCCAGAAATATTTAACATACAGAGTGAAAGTTGATAAAACATCAATTTTATGATTTTTATGTAGTATGGAAACAGAGTAGAACATTTTCCTTTGATTTTTCTCTCCATACTTTTACTGAAACAAGTGCAAAGGGGGGTGGTAGATAAGGAGGACTTCAAATGTGATCTTAGGGCAGGTCAAGGAATACAAAATTAAACCACTTTTAATAGAAACATTAAACTTTATTTAAATCACCACCACCATATAAATCCAGCCACTTCTATAGAATGTGATTTAGTTTCTTTTAACTTGCATATACTCCTGCAACCTGTTGTACATACTTCATAGTCTAAGGCCTACGGCTTCTGGTGTGCTGCAGTTAACATCCGCTATGCTCCACATACAAATATGCTTTTTGGGCAAAAGTATCAGAAGACTAGAGACAAGATTTGCTTAACTTTTCCAGCAAAACTGCCATAGAATGCTTAGTGCTTCAAACTATCCATTTCTCTCACACCATATATCCCGTATAATCCCACTTACTCCATTTTCCATTTAGAATGGTTGAGCTCCTTCCCCGCAAAGGAAAGGGATCACACAGCTTAGGAAAGAGATCCGTTTATATGCCATTGGGATTCTAACTTTTCTTCCCACAGATCTGGCTTTGGTTTAGAATCGATGTTGAAAAGGCTAGGAGAAAGGGCCACAGATCAACGTGTACCAGCAAGAGAAGGAGCCGATGGAGCCAAGATTAAAAGGGCCAGGAAGCAGACCAGCTGGAGCCACAGATTTCTAGGCTGAGAAACTGACCCCGGTCACGGCCGTTGCAGCAATTTCTCGTTCTGCTATGTGTCTGCTAAGACACATTCACACAAGTAGGGAAGTGACACTTCCCTCACTCCCGATGTACCTGATTTTTTCCAGAGAGGCTCCTGATTTTAAAGCCTCTCGGTCCCTAAACCCTCGAGCGAGGTTCCGCGAAGGTGGTTTGGGGCGCGCTTGGAGGTTCCTCAAGTGTCCGTCAGGCCTGGATAGCGGAGGACCGCTTAATTTCCTAACGAAGAGCGCGGAAGCCGAAGCCGAGCACAAGAGCTGCAGTGCTCCCTTCCGTCCAGCAGAGTTTACTGCGCACTGGAGGCGTTTGCCTCCTGGCGCTCGCGTCCGCCCAGAAGGCGCTAGAGAGGAACGCCGGGAACGACTCCTCGCCGTTTGAACTGGGCTACAGAGGCTGAGAAAGTGGGAGAACCGCCGCTTTGATCTGCCACCTCTTTATTGGCCTGTGGCGTGGAAAAGAGAGAATGGGGCTTCTCTGCCCACCCACCTCCACCCGCACCCCCGACGCGTCTTGCGGAATGACTCTGGGGAGCGCGGGCGGGCACAGGAGCAGCTGCGAGTTCCCACATCGAGCGTTACAGGAAGGGATACTTAATGCTACCCCGTTACCGCAAGCAGGCAAATCTTTTCGCAACGCTCCGTTTAAAAGTGGATCCCAAACGGCGACTTTGGGATTCGGTCGGAGTTTTTCTTTCTTGAGCAGTTAAGAATACTTGATTTCCTCTTCTCCCTGCCAGCTGATGCCAACCTCCTCCGTACATTTTCTTCTCCATCTGCATAAATATCTGTAGATGCATTTTAAAGGACCTCCCTCTCTTTCTCTTACTGAGATATGAAAGCGGAGTTAAAATAGGGAGAGTAGTTTGCAAAGAGCCGACGTTCAGGAAGCCCCTATTCCAGACTCTGCGGAGTAACGGACCTTCAGGGACTAATTTAAGAGAAAGACGCGTGAGCTGAGCAATTAACGGGCGAAGGGAAGGTCCTTTTTGCAGCAGTAGCCCCTAGCCACTAAAGCACTCTCGCGATCAAGCCAGTAGCATTTGGGAGGGGTGCGGAGAGGGGGGGACGAAAAGGCGCTTTCTTAACTTGGACTTTTCAAGGAAAAGAAGAGAACAGACCTGAGTTAGGGTTGCTACTAAGACAGAAAGTTAATCGACATGCAACCATCACGCCGCGCTTTGGTCCATGCAGCAACTCCAGCTCGATTTAGGTACGGGAGCAAGGGGGGAAACGATCAGGCCGAAGACGGCAAGCGATCCCCGTCTTTAGCTAGGTTTCACGCCACCGCCCCAACTCATGGTGCCACTTTAAATGAAAGCGAGATGGGGCGCCCTACCTCCCCAGTCTGGCATACCTGTACCAGGTGAGGCCTCGTTCGTAGTTGCGATCAAAAAAGTGAGGCTCGGCGCCCACCGCCCGCACGTCCGGGTGAACCCGCAGGAACTCAAGCAACGCCCGAGTCCCACCCTTCTTCACGCCGATGATCACTGCCTGGGGCAG